TAGTGTGTTTGTATTGTAGCAGTACTTTGAAGTCAGTACCTTGAGGTTTAGTGTGTTTGTATTGTAGCAGTACCTTGTTGAAGTCTAGTGTGTTTGTATTGTAGCAGTACCTTGAGGTTTAGTGTGTTTGTATTGTAGCAGTACTTTGAAGTCTAGTGTGTTTGTATTGTAGCAGTACCTTGAGGTTTAGTGTGTTTGTATTGTAGCAGTACCTTGAGGTTTAGTGTGTTTGTATTGTAGCAGTACCTTGAAGTCTAGTGTGTTTGTATTGTAGCAGTACCTTGAGGTTTAGTGTGTTTGTATTGTAGCAGTACCTTGAGGTTTAGTGTGTTTGTATTGTAGCAGTACCTTGAGGTTTAGTGTGTTTGTATTGTAGCAGTATTTTCAAGTAATTTATGGATGAAAGTTTTATCCTGCCAGAGTTATAATTTTGTTTTTCCAAACAACTTTTATTGTTTTAAAGGTACACTAATATTTCCAAGTAACTTAACCATGACTTTCTATTTGTGTTATTTGTTAACTGGCAAGATCATCATTGAACCAATAAAGAATATATACAACCTTCACTGGACATAAGCTTTGACCACTCATTTTCTGTCACCACAACTGGCTCTCATTTAGACCCCAGTTGTATTGATAATAATTAATACTGAAAATAATGAAATTTAGTCTTAAATGCTATTTATTTTAGAAGGCAAACAACAACAAAAACATGATATAAGTTTAATTACAAAAGCTGTATGTATGATGCACGTGTTAAAAATAATTCTTAGATACAAGGGTAATTAAATATCATCATCTTTCGAAATTTAACGTGTTACTTGTTGGTTATGACGAGTTAAAAACGTTGCCAGTCTTGTCATATTTTGTGTATTGTATATAATACTTAAACAGAACAAGATTTGCTGCCTAATGTTTCCGAGTTTATAAAACATCACCACCAGCCTCGCCTCGGAGAAAGAGTTCGTTGTGAAGTCGCTGATCTGCATTTTGTTTTTTTCTAATGGTCAATATTCGGACCTAGAAATAATTTCTTTCAAGGCTAACTGCGTACAGCCGTCGAAAATTTTGATCTGATCGACTAGTGTGAAGGTAGCTAATCAATAACATCCATCGCCAGTTCTTGTCTGACCAAATAATGGGGCTTGACCGTCACTCTTATAGCGCAAAGTGCGGATTTTTAGTTCGAACACTCTAACTACTACGCCACACCGTAGAAATTATGAACGCGTTCTTGCCGTCAGAGTTAATTTTTAAAGACTCGTTTTTTAGCGTAATTTTCCTTGTTCTGCCACATTGATCTTAATTTAGTGACCATTTATTATAACGTAGTTATCTAATTAATTAAATTTAATAAAACGAATCTCTCTTAAGTCGAATTGATGAAGTACAACACGAAAAAAGGACCAGTTCATTTGATGTTTTGTATCATACCTGTTCTGTTTTTAAATGTGCCATGCGTACGTACGTTCACACATCATTCCGGCGCGTGACTTCGTTGTAGTCGAGCAGTTGCCGTTCGAAAGAGCGTCTCAAACCGCGTGTTGGTCGACGAGACCCGGATGGTTAGCTCATTGTCAAAACACATGTTGAGCAAGGAATAAAAAGTTTTCCAATTTAACTTGTTAAATTAATACAGAAAACATATTAAAAATATTTCGTGTTTATACTATTACGGTGATAAGCAGAATCATATGTAACGTTGTGACAACAATCGAATACAGGAATACATAATAACTTGTTGAGCCTAGCGGCGTTCAAATTAAAAGGTTTACGTAATATATATTTATCAGCGTTCAAAAATGTATTGTCCCTTTCTTCGTCGTCGTTAAAATTATACAGGGAAGGGAAGAACGGGGTTAAGTACGGAGGTCCTCCCGTTCAAGTTATATCGCACTTTTAAAGCATTATGTTTAGTAGATTGACGGTGTTTTTCACATTAATTTTATTGTTTAATCTTAATGCGCCTTTTTTCTTAATTAGGCTCTAGATACTGAACTGCAGTCTGCAACAAAACGACATATTGCAATCGATTTAAAGCGTTGAAAAGCTATATTTTACAGTTACATTTCAGAACATTTATAACCCACGTGCAAGCATTATTTATTTGTACTAAAAGTGCACGTTTCAAGTTTAATTTATTACTTTCTTTTAGAATTTTATATAATCAACAAATCGATGTTTCGTTCCTGTTCTCAGGTTTTCCTTTTAATTAGCCATTGTTTGTTTGTTTTTGAATTTCGCGCAAAGCTACACGAGGGCTATCTGCGCTAGCCGTCCCTAATTTAGCAGTGTAAGACTAGAGGGAAGGCAGCTAGTCATCATCACCCACCGCCAACTCTTGGGCTACTCTTTTACCAACGAATAGTGGGATTGACCGTCACATTATAATGCCCCCACGGCTGAAAGGGCGAGCATGTTTGGTGTGACGGGGATTCGAACCCGCGACCCTCAGATTACAGTCGAGTGCCCTAACCACCTGGCCATGCCGGGCCTAATTAGCTATTTTCAAGATTGTACATATTTGTAAGTATCTCAAATATTATTTTATCATAAAAATTAAATTGTCTTACAACAGATTGAATTCTTAATAACTTTTCATTACATGTAAATACGCTTCGTTTTGTCGACCCCAACCTTATAATTATACTTGCAGTTTAGTGTTGATAAAATTATTACTTAAACTATACTGTATGAAATTAACACCTATTTTTACCTAACGTTCCATGTGATACCTTCACACTACAGAAGACTTACGATTTATGTTTTCTTGATACAGACTGACAGACATTGCCTTTCGAACTGTTCTTTAATAGTCAATCACATTTTTCATCCTTCCGTTGCCATAGTTACAACGCTTACGACCGTCATTATTTATTCATTGAAATTAACCCGTTGTCGAGTTCAGTGCAGAGCTACAAAATGGGCTGTCTGTGCTCTGTCCACCCCGGTGAATTGAACACCGGATTTTAGCGTTGTAAGTCTGTAAAGGCTATTCTAGAATGTATGTGAAAAGACATTATCTTCGTTGGTGTTTAATACGTTGATAGTCGATGTGTATTTTTTGTCTTTGTGTAGATAAAGCAAATATTTTTTTTTTTATACGGTGTACTTTTTTATTGCATAATGTTTGAGTTTAATGTTTTAGAAAACTAAAAAGGAAGATATAAAGTTTTGTTTTTTTCCAACAAAATAAAATGCTTTTCTGTGGCTTTTTTTTAAAGTAATTTCACTTTACAAGTTCTGAATTAAAGTTAAGAGTGTATCCACCATGGATTCCAAAAACTTGCACCTGTTTAATAGTTATGACGTTTGTACTGTTTCTCAAGGTTAATGCCAGGTGGTTAGGGCACTCTACTTGCAATCTGCGGGTAGCTGGTTCCGGTTCGAATTCCCATCCCACCAAACATGCTGCTCTTTCAGCCGTGTGAGGGCGTTATTATGTAACGATCAACCTCACTATTCGTTAGTAAAAAAGTAGCCCAAGAGTTGGTGGTGATGACTATCTGTCTTCCCTCTGGTCTTACGTTGCTAAATTAGGGACCGCTAGCGCAGATAGCTTTTATTTAGTTTGCGCGAAATTCAAAACAAACAAAAACACTGAGGTTAATAGAATAATTTTTCTCTATCCTAGAGTGAAGACATGCTTAAAAATGAAATGTGGAAACAAATGGCTTTATATGAAATGTATGTATCCACCAATCTCACACTTTCTAACTTAAGTCTTGGGTAATTCTTACTCAACTAAATGAAATCAACTGTCGTTCAAGTCGAATTATAAATATTACACAAATAAAAAAAAAATGTGTTAAACTACCAGTTTAATAATATAACGTGGGTAAAAGAAACTGGCCTAGTTTGCACATAGCATTCAATTTGTATTTGTTGGGGTCAAGTTTTAATGTAAATATGAAAATACACTCTCCAGTTAGAGGTGCTACAATTCTAACGAATTTTTGAAGTAATTGCTAACGAGGTGCACTGTTTATTTTTACGTAATAAGAAAAATATACTTTACCCTAACCTTAAAAAAAAACAACTAACATCTGTTATTATTATTTCTCAGTAACAGGCTTATTCAATTTATCTTAATGATGACGGAGTATTTTCAAAATTTGCCCTTCTTTCTCTCTCTTTATGCTTGGTTTCAAATGATAATTTCTATTACTCAGATAACCCTTATATGAGGTGAAAAGCTTCGTATAATATCTTGGATCTGTTAGTAAAATGAAGCCTAATTTTTATAACCTAACATTTAGTTTAAAGTTCTGCAAATTTTGACCATACTTGTTAAATAAAACACAATACTAAAGAAACTTCAAATCATATAACCCCTGTGTTCAACACACACGATGTTGAAATACTTTTGTGGCTTCTGTTTGAATAAATCGATAATATATATAGAAGGGTGTGGATAAAGTCTTGGGTACACATTTAATCTAATTATGCATATTTTAATTGAGCTTTTTTTTTCTTTCTTCAACAGAGCAACTGAGAAAAAAATGCAGATTTACATGCGGTTCTTTTACAAAAATGTATAGAATACACATCTCAAGTTAAACAGAATACTGGGAATTTAACACACATTTTAAACTACAACAACATTTCACTATAGCATCTTCCAATCATACCTGGTAAAGGCACTATTCAAAGAATTTTACAGGTACATAACCAACATACCATGTTGTAAATTAGGCTTGTATACATTATAAACAGAGTGAAATCAACATTACTGAAGTTCCGCTTTTAAAATCTTACAGTTATGGCATTATGACTTAACAGAAATTTCGAATTCTAAATATAAAGTATATAAGTAAGCTATAGGTTTAGTTTGAGGGTATTTTTAAGTTCCTATTCTCTTTAAAACATTTATCACACTCAATAATATGAGCTACAAACAACACAGACGAAATGTTTGTAACAACTCATTTTTTGTTATGGAAGCGTTTAGACTTGTGTGATTATCTTAAAGTAACATTGTGTAGTTTTTCACGTGAACAATTACCCTTGATACTAACGGGTTTCAGCTTGCTGGGAGCTAAATAATTCCTTCTCTGAATTTAAACAACATTGTACTAAATACTTTTTAAGTGATTGATAAAGACTGGTATATTGGTCTGTGTTTTTGTATAGATGAATTTTTATATTACATGAAATACTGTTTTTTTTTAAGACCATCATTTAATTAAAAAACTTAAGCCTTATAACTGTACTTTGTTTGAAATGGCTAAGTTCATTTGCGGTTAAGCTTTTCAGTACAGAGAATAAAAACTAAGTAACACTACGACCAGGTCAAACCCGTGGAGAGCTCGCGCTTGACGATTTAGAATAGAACGCTAGTCTGACGAGTTCAAGTTTCAGCGGGGCGATACGTTTGACCGTGGCGTACGTCCCACGTTTGTTGTAGTATTCGTATAGGAACGGGAAAATATGGGATTTATAAAGATGTAGAATTTTAATTATTACTACAAATTTAAATTAACCTGGACAACATTTCTGTGCAGAGCATATTCCAGAGAAGTGTTACTAACATATGATCGCAATAATTTATTACAGTTTACAGTACGTGATAAAGCACTTCTTACATGTTACAGAAACATACCCCATGGACAGAATCTTTACACAATGTGAAAAGTGTTTAAAAAATCATATAGCAGCACCGTGAAGGTTATTTTAGATTAAATTACTATGACGTAATGTATTCATAATTCATCATGGATTATTAGATTTTATTCAAAATTGTTCGACTTTATGATAACCTCTTAAAGTCATTTTCCTCAAAAAAGTTAAAATGTTTACAATGATTCCGCTAAAGAAATATTTCAATTTTTTATAGTAGACTGGTGTCAGATTATGAATACTACATATGGTAGAAGAAATTAACGAAAGAAGCAACGTGAAGACCTAATGAACACAACAATAAACTGAAGAAAAAACTCCAGACGTTTTTATTTAGCATTCTTTTTGGTAGAATATATTTCAACAACCAAGACTTCTGGTCTTAATACTGCATCTTAAAAATTGAGAATTTTTTTAAAACTAAACTACGAGGTTTATATAGTTCTAAGTAACATCCCTCAAATCAAATGATGTGTTTCTTTTTAATGCTGAATGGATTACTATCAAAAATTATTTCAGAAAGAAAGGGAAGACTTTCGTATATTTTTAGATCTTTAAATTGAATTAAGGTCTATGGGGGAAAAAAATCGAGCCAATAAACGAGATTAAAAAGATTTTGTATGATATAATTTTATTTATCTAGAATAAAGTACAGAGGTGCTGAAAATACTTCTTTTTTTTACAATCTACATCTGATGGCAAATTTTGATGAAGTTTCAGAAACTTTTATCAATTTAACAAGCATAGATGTAATAAAACTAGTATTTAGGTAGATATCTGTTAAAATTCTTTTATCTCTGTCATGTTATTAACCCTTCCTGTTTATCACTGTTTTATATAATTAAGTTGTTGAGTCTTGAAATAGTATTACTTTAAACCAGTTTTGCTGTATTTGGTATTTCTATACATATACAGTAAGTGAAAATTTAGATTTTCTATAGAGTGGCTTTAGTCTTACATTTAGGAAAAGTCTATTATATATCACATTGAGGAAGAACAGGTTGACTGAAGTAAATGCTAAACAACCTTAAATGTATGGTATGTTTAAACTTATTGAAATATTATTTAGTTTTCTAAATAAACACAATATAACCAGCTTGTAAGTAACTCATTTTACAGATATACTCCAGCGTTTCTCAACCTTTTTGATACCAGAGACTGCCTTACGATTTAGAAATGAAAATTCTATCACTATCAGTTTTTGTTTGTTTCGTGAGGGACTGGTGGTTGAGGCACACTGATTAGTTTTCTTTCTTTTATCATCACTATTAATAATACAAGCATTTTTTTTTCATAAGTAACAGCCGGTTATAAATTCCAACATGACGCTGTTTACTCTGTTTACTCGATTGAGAAATGTAAATAAATATAGTAAATAAAATTTACCTTGAATCGTTCTGTCAAAAATCTGATAAACAAAAGTTATGATAAACTTTCTTATTATATTTATATGACACTGGCAAATTGGCAGTCTTTCACGGAAATATTTTTGCTATTAAATTAATGCCTGGAAGACATCAAGATCATGAATATTTATGATAATAGGCTGAAAGTTCTCTTTCTGAACAATTGAAATTCAAAGTCTGTTACAGGTTACATTAAAAATAAAATCATCTATATGCTACTAAAACTCTGAGATTGTTTGTGTGTGTGTGTGCGTGCTTGTATGTAATTAAATACAGCAAAAACGGCGCACAATAGCGCCATATTTGTAGTGATATGTGAATAGAAACAGAATAAAACAAGTTTCCTTAAATTCGTGCCACGGGTTACCGAGTTAGCCCCGTTTTTCAGATCACTTTTCGTACATTCCATTATTATAAAACTTCGTTTATACAACAATATATGAACAACATAAATTAAATGACGAGATGAAAATGTGTTATAACGGCGCCGCGTAGAAAGAACAACAATAAAATGGACCTACAATATTATTATATTATTGACTATTTTCAAATAGTAACTATGGAGACGAGGTAATAAAATAAAAATCAAGTCGAGAACAACTACAAAATTTTAGAAACGAAAACCTCTCGCCAAGCATTGCTATTATATTATTTCCCTGTCAGTGTTCCCATCTTCATTAAAAGGCGTAATATGACAAAAACAAGATTTTGAAGAATCTATCTATATACTACTAAAACTCTGAGATTGTTTATTTGCTTATTTTCTCAGTCAAAAAATTATTCACACTACCATTCGCACTCTTTACGAAACTTCTTACTTCACTTTTTTGAAAAATGAAATGGTCTTTCCTTTTACTCCCAATCAACAATCAAATATCTTTTCTTGAATTATGAATAACACGAATGGATTGAAATATTTAATTAAATTATCCCAAAATAAACCTTCATTTCGGTGCAATATTGAAATTAGATTGAAATCTTCATAACCTCTGAATAGTGGTTGACCCAACGGGTCACGGTGGTCTAGTAGCTTATAAATGACAACTTATCAGATTTGTAGATGGATATTATTTTGGTTATTATTAACACAAAGTTATAAATTTTATAATCTATTAAACCTAAAAGCTGAATGCACAACAATATATTCTCAAAGATATTTTATTCAAATTATCCACAAAGCATTTACTTAAACTTTTGGCAGTATAGGCTTGTGAAATATCCTTATATTCATATTACAAAAAAGAAATCAAAAATTTGCAAAAGACCAGTATGAAATTTATTTCAAGTTTAAATTTCACTGTACTGTAATGGATACCTTGAAAATTGTTATAATCATATATATATATTATGTGTATATTGAATAAGTTTATGAACCCAAAAGAACTTGCATATGATACTACATTATTCTAGAAAAAATCTATATTTTGTAAGTTTTCTCACAAATGGTAACACACCTTGCAGGACGAATGTACAGAAGTGGTAGGTATTCGTGTCGAAAACTAAAACAAATTTGATATTCCTTTTCACCGACATAAGATGCTATGGGATTAAAACACTTTTTCAAGGAATCATCTGCAAAATGATACATCAGATTACTTTAGAAATTTTGGTTATGTTATATATATACTGTTTCTATTTATGACAAATTTATAACCTGAAACATATGAAGCACCTACATCACCTAGCAGTCTTTATGTAACTGAAAACAAAAAATAACAACTGTATCTAAATTACAGAGGTATAAGTGATACCACAGTAATAAAAATTACTTAATAATGCTTCTGGATCATATCTGTAAAAACTGCATATAACACAAGTGAAATTTAATTTTAAATTGATTTATCCTCAACTGATGAGCTTATACTGCTATTCTGCCATATCATTTATCTGTGAACTTTATTCTCAAAAGGTTTAATGTTCTACTTACCTAATACAACTCCATCAGGGACAATCAAAATACAAAAATGCAATTCTGGAACTGTATGGTATGTCTTTTGTAAGATTTCTTTTATACATTTCTCTTTCATAAAAGACAAAGAAACATAAAAATGAAGGAACAGTGTGTTCAGTGATGAAAATTCAAATCCAACACCACACTTTTGAATGCATAACTCCCAACAAGTTGGATCAAGATCTGAAACATTAGGATAGTCCACAAAAGAAGCATGACCAACTACATCCTCATCGCTTCCCATCACTGTCATTGACAGATTTGAAATTTCACTATAGTAAATATAAAACTGTTGAAGCTCATTATAATAAAATACATCAGATATATATTGTTACAAAAAAAAAGGATAAGCAAATTAGATCTCATTTTACATTTGTTTATAAAGTTGTCTTACACACTCTGTCTACTATCCATACAAATAAATGTGAAAAGCATATGTGCATAAAAACCTTTAATGCAATTTACTATACCTTATTAAGAAATATCTTATGTCCCTGCTCACTTCAACATGTAGATTAATTATTTGTGAATACCTTTAACTTGTTATAGTCCATCACCCAGGCAGGTAAGTTGGTACCAGTTGGGGGGGTCAAATTCTAATGGTATTTTTATGAAGGCCTAGAGTGTGTATGCTCTAAAAAAATACAACAGACTTATAGGTTTGGTAGCTTTTTGTAAAAAATATCCACTAATATAACATAACTGTATGCAGAAATAACCTCAGCTTCAATATCACCATTAGCTGCATGAACTGCACGTAGTATGATTCTGGTATCTGCTTCTTCTTGATTTGTCTCAAGCTCTGGTACTTTTTTACTTTTCTCTTCAAGTTTGTAGCATTTGGCTCAACATATGACAAATAGTGCCTTATTGCATGGTAACATTAGCCACAGTGGCTTCACAGAGTAGAAACTCAATTAGGCTTCCTTTGTTTTTAGAGTTAGCAAGGAATTTTGTCCATTGGCGTACAAGCTGTCTAGAAGATATATTCTTGAACTGCAAAGTGGATTCTGTGTGCCTTGATCTCTCTATATTCTTTATGATCTGTTTCTTGTAAACATAGAAGACAATATCAATTCTCTGACTATGGCTTCCTACATGCAGAGCTGTTCTCAGTATCGACGAGACAATTTGTCCAAATGACTTTTGGTCGCCTTTCATTCAATGAATGAGTGCCATCCCATCTATTATGGTTCCAGAAGGCTGAGGAATCACTTCTGCTACTGACATATTTTTCTGCAACTCTTTTGCCAGAGTGGACTTATTGGTCTTCATGGTTTGCCATCTGGTGTTATAAGAGACCAAGCCAGCTGCCTTAGCAGATGACATAACACACCTTTCATGTTCAGCTCCTTTCTTCTTTGAGAAATCAGAATCATCATTCCAAAGAGCATTCAGTCAGCTTTTAATATCATTTCTCTTTTGCTTGTTTTAACTTTCTTGACACTTTTTGACAAGTCAAAAAATGTTTTCAGTTTTTGTTTCCTGATGGGATCATGAAAAGCAACTTTTGATGGATGAATTTCCAGGCGTTCTTCTTGAAATTTGTCATATGCAGCAAGTCCTTTGGTTTGTGCTTCTAAGAGATCATTGACAATGTCCTTTGTGGCTGCTGTTGCAGTTGACAAACTGAGAAGGTCACAGTCATTTTCAAAAGGATTTATCCAATTGTCTAATGTGTTGACCACAGATGTAACTGCTGATTCATCCTTGTTTATTCTTGAGGTCTGCAGTTCTGCATAATAGATATTTGATTTTACTGAAATTACCATTTCACGGAACTGATGCAGAAAGCCTGCCCAGTGTTCAGCTGTAAGGTAATATTGGGAGACAGCACCTTGGTTCAAGCTGTATTTTGATATACCACCTGCCATTTTGGTATCTTTATTTACAGATTCCTCTGTGGCTTGATTTAGGGTATCCTTCAAAAGGCTTGTGAGCTCCTAGTTAGACAGCGAATCCACCTTTCATGAAATGTTCAAATATCCTAGGATGTGTAGTTGCCAAGTTTGACATGGTGCCATAGTACACAGGAATATAACCAGCATAGTTTGTTTTATCACAGGCAAAGTATCACAGAAACATATGGTGGACTGCTGACATGTGTAATAACCAGTTGCCTTCTTGTGATGCATGGATGTGTCCAAAAAGTATGTCTCCAACTAATTTGACATAAGACAATCAAAGTGCAGTGAGTGGTCCATTGTCTTGTCAGAGAAAGTTAAATTATTCCTCAAATAGGCTAGTGATAGTGACAAATGCTGGAATATTTAAGATGGCTTGATATGATGCTGTGTTCTGGTCATCATGAAATTCTGAAACATGCTCCAAGGCTTCAGCGAGTCTTTCATTCATGTCTGAATGTTTGCTATTGAGCCAAGTTGGAAAAACCTCTCCATGCAAGTCTCATGAGAGCCTCATAAACATATTTATGCACACACACTGCCTGACTGTAGTGCCATTCATCCATAACAGCTGTGACAGAGCCTTCAGCAATAATACCTGATTCAAGACAAAGTTCTTGAAGGCCAGCATCTTGAAAGCATTTTCCAATTATACTCAAGATATTAAAAATTGTGTGGAAGGTTCCAAGTCTGATAACGATGCCTTGGTAGAAAATTGGGTACTTCCAAAGAACTTCAGCAATCTTTGCAAAGAGAGTCTGGTGAAAAATTAAAACTATTTCATTAAGTTGCAGCTGGTTCATGATTTCTTTTGCTGTGGTTGAGTATTTCAAATGCATTCGCCATTTCTGTTGCTGGGGCATTGATGTTTAGTAAATAACCAGCATTGTCAATGACAACATCTTCTCTGAAACGGACCTTTATGTTGAACCTTGTCCATCCACACACACTGACTGATTAAGTGGATCTACTTGTCGTGTGAAAATCCATAGAAGAATTTTCATGAAAGCTACTTGATCTGTGTTCTAGTAGTTCAGAAATTGCATAGCTATCAGTCCAGGTCCAGTTCTCTGATCAGGATTGTAAATTGGTAGGATTACGTCTTATACAGCGATGCTTTGTTGCTTGTTTTTTTCAACTGTTGGAAAATACAATTGTTGATGTGGCCAAGACTGTCAGCTGAACAATCCCATTAACTCGGTGTGTGGACCCTTTACCACTTAAAAGTTTCTTCAGAAAAATCTATATTGTCCCAAGCTAGTGTTGTAAACAAGTATGGATATGTGGTTTCAGGAAAGACTATATCCTCGGGACTAGCAGCCAACTTTCAAAGACATAGGGCTGTGTCATTTTATTCTATTTGTGAATATGAGACCCCATGTCCCAATCTGTTAAGAGCTTGAACCACTTCCACATTACCCATTAATGCTTTCACTGCTGCTGGTAGAAGTATATATTTTGGTGTTTTCTGCTTTCCACAGCTAACAGCATACATCAAGTCTTGAGCAAATGAATCCACCAAACAATTTACTTTAGTTTGTTTCTTGTCTGGATCTGCTTCACTGGTCAAAAGACAATGCAAGAAATAGGTTAGAGGATGAGGTATGGAAATACTTGATTTGGTAAGTGCATTGGGAAAATGAAGCCATGCTTGTGGTTCATCGTTACTTTTTATAGACATTCAGATAGATGAAGCAGCAGCATAGAGGTTGGCATTATCTCCAGATGAATCAATCTTTAAGGATTTGATGTGATCTTGCATTTATATTTTCTTTGGCAAGGTCATAGATATTTATCATGAGGAAAAATTTGAAGAACTTCTGCTTCAAGACGTCTTCTCACAGGTTTTTTTTTGTTGAGTCTCTGATGCACGTGATTCCAGCTGTTGTCATATGTGAAATTAGTGTGTGTGTCAGGTCAGTCATTTTCATAACTCTAGGGTTTTAAAGCAAATCTGTTCTTATGTTCTTAAAAAGATGTATATACTATGTTGCTTTCTGCTGCATAGTATTCTGAATCTTTGGCAGAATCAACTTGTTTTCGTTTGGCATCTTTTTTGTTGGACGTGTGTACTTATTGTAGCAGATTCGGTGATAGTGAACTTCAGCACCCACATGTCAGGAGATACAATGGCTAACACTCTGCAGGCCTGCTTCTGTGTGGCTATTTCATGTAGTGTTATATCTGAACATAAATCAGCACATTGAATGAAATGTTCTCTGGATCTTTGTTTCTTTATGTACTTTGTTTTTCACAAAAAATACAGAGCTTGTGATGTGGATGGACCACCTTGATCACAACATGTGAACTTTTTCATTATTGCTGAATCCTGAAGACAATTATAAGAAGTTCTCATTGACTTTGTTCAAATCAGATCCAGATCCCTTTTCATGGTAAATCTACTTCGGCATCATCAGTGGTAAATATTTCTGGCACTTCCCCTTGTGGCATTGTCTGTGCATGTGACAATAAACCTTGGTGATCTCTGATTTGTGCTGCTTGTAACAACATCTCCCACAAGGAACTATCCTTCAGTGACACCAGTGTTGAGGTGTCATCTTTGTCTTGGTAGTTTATTATGCATGATTTATTTTAAATTTCATTAGGCCTAATTGAGCATCCAGGATATTCGTCAATATCACCACCAGGAACATGTATGCTACTGTTACCACAGGACAATTCCATGGTTAATTATATTACTGTCTACACATTCTATCTCATGTCTTGTTAATATCTGAAAATATAACAATATAATGCAACTTGTTTTTCCAGATCATTGAACAATTTTCTGTATGGAAAAGAATACTTTGAATTAGTTAGTTATATAGGTTGTTTTACATCACTCTAAGCACGGAATATGACTGTATCATGACGGAGATGATGAACGAATGGAATACAACAGCCTCAGATCTCGGCACTTTTTTTAAGGGATTCCCCAATGCACAGGTACTAGCACACAGGGGAAATATGCTCCTGTTAGAATGTTACCCTAAAGCCCTAGTTGAGGGGGTTCAACAAACCTTCTTGTGGTAGCACCTAGTATTATATTCAAAATTTACAATAATGAATTCTATTTTATCAAGTAGATTATTTCAAGTTGATCTCAGCACAAATACCAGTACAACTATAGGATGATGGCAACACTATGGGAGTGGTCTAAAGAACCCAAGAGCCAGACTTTCACCTAAAGCTTCAGAGAGGGAATGAACCTATTGTACTTTAATACCTCAGGCCCACACAGAGTAAAAGAAAACATGGAATGTGTTAAAATATCATCAAAATCTTGATATAACAATTGATCATTTGTATATTCAATATCATATTATAATTGTTTATTATAATATTATTGTGCTTTACCATGTTTACTGTGTATGTAAAGTAATAAACAGCAGCAATTCAAAATACTGCTGTTTATCATTGCAGCATTCCAAACCAAAACATTTCTAATGTACATATATAAAATGGAACACAATTACATGCAAATGTTATGTAAAAATATATATGTATATACATAAGCACCATCCAAATATGTTAATTAGGTTGGGATTATCTCTTTTGTTATATTTACTGTTGTATATATGTTTCTAAATATATATTTCACCTAATTACTGAATAAAACAATACTTTAATTGGTTAAAACAATTTAAGCATGGGATAACATAGCATTGTTCATTATTTAACATATCAAACATCGGCATGCAGGGTGGGGTACAAACTGATCCGTGCTTTAGTAGAAAATTACACATTTTAGTGGTCTATCATATTTTTTCTGAAACTAGAAACTGTGGTAAATAAATAACATATACATATATACTTCATGTATTTCCTAAATTACATGTTTTCTAAAGTTCTAATTCAGAAACAGTAGATGTGGTCAAGCTTGTGTACTAATTCAATACGAGATGTTACTTTCGAGGCATGATTCACTCAAGAAGCCAGCTACTGTTTCATAGAATAGTTGTACTGAGCCCAACATTACCTTGTGTATGTGAAACTGCTCTACCTCTGTCACATAGAGCAGAGGCACTTCCATGTAGAACTGATCTAATTTTGTGACTGGCCAGATACAATGCAAATGTGGACTGTGAGTGAAATTTGACATTTCCAACCAGATTTGATTTTTGGCCTGAAAATTTGTGAAGTCTCATTTGTAGATAGGAATGTAGATATATTTTGTATATTTAGTATCAACCACTTGCATCTGAATGCGTTTATATCCATTTTGCTTTGCCCCTTATAAATGTAAAAATACGCAATAAAACAATTTATTTATAGAATATATGCAATGCATAAAAAATTCCCTTAACATGCAAGCAGAGGGAAAAAAAAAGTTCACCTATGTAATGGTTATGTATTTCAAACATAAATATGTTTGATCTCAAAGGTTTTTTATGCATGAAATTCTAATTTTCACCTGAATTTCTTTTTTAATACTAAAATTTAATTTAATATCCTGTGTTTTATGTTCAATATTTGTTAATCTTGAATTTATTTAATATGTGCTGTATGATTTTTTTTTTACCCTATGATCTATATCTTCTTCATTTCTCGCAATTTTGTCCTCTTTTAGTATAACTATTATATGCATTTAAAGAAAAAATTATTTTATTTTGCATTTTGTAAAGGAATTTTATTTGTATGTTTACGTGTATAATTCCAGTTGTTTTATGTCTTGTAAATACAGGATGAATTTCCCTGCATACAGTTACTTTGTATTTTTTGTGCTTTAAATTTAAGGGGTTTCCTTTATCTAGCATCTTTAATGGATTTATTTTTTATGCATTTAAAGAATTTAACATCTTATTATATTATATCTTTAAGAGGATTTTCATCATTGTTGTATAATTAAGTATTTGTGTGTCCTGTTTGTTTATCTCTATTCTGCATGCTGCTTTGTGTATTAGTATTCAATTTCACTGATCAACATGCATTTTGCCTGATCACATTGTAATTTCTTATTGGTATTAAACTTAAAAGTCAGCTTGAGAACAATTTGAGAGAATGGAAAAAGAAACATGCTATTGAAATAATGTTTATTGTTAGAGTAGTTTTGGCATTTTCAGCAGATTTGTTTCTAACTTGAAAAAGTCAAGACTTGCTCTGGAAGTCCCATCTATTGTTCTTGAGTATTATAATACATGTTGATTATATGTATGTGTTTCCATTTGAAGTAGTTGGAATGAAAGTTTTAAGTCTGTTCAAAACATAGATTTATTTACTTTTGTTATTCCAGTACAATTCATTAATCTCAATTAACTTTAAACCAACAACACAATGGTTCTGTCCACCCCACAATCAGCCACTGTTGCAGTTATTTTTTGTTTCTTTGCAAATAGTGTTTATTTTTGTTTAATCTTCACACATTATCTTGTCTCTTTCAAAACACCTGCAACAAATCAGTGTACCTGTTCTTCCAAAAACTAAATCTACAAACCTCATGCAGTTGACAAGTTTAAAAATTTATGCATAATCCATCTTGAACCTTGGAATAATACATGCATGTACATTCTAGTGTTAATAGTTTTAATAAAGCATTTGCAAAGTTAAATAATTGTGCATTAGTTTGATTTAAATATATTACAGAAATAACATCAAAGCTGAAAGTCAATTCTATTAATTTCCATTTTTATTTATGAAGTAATAATTAATAACAGCTTATGTTATACATTGGTTAAAAATATTTCAATTAGTTATTGTTATGTGAACAAGGTTGACTTTCTTCAGATACTGGTTAATGGTTGTTAGTGTTTCTGAGTTCTCCTTATTATAAATACGTTGATATATAATTTTTTAAATCTTTACAGAGCTAACACTCATACATCTTATGCCTTACTTAGTGGAATATGTAAAACATATTGCATGGTTATTAAAATAAACAATTACTATTGGATAGAGTCAGTATTTTTGTTTTCCTCAGTAACTGAAATAATTGTATAATGAATGAAACCTGGTTATGCCATAAAGCCCGCAAAGCATCTTTAGGCTATATCTTCATTTAATGATAAAAACCATAGTTTTTGGCTTTTCTCTGCATATAGACGCTTGATACATTAACAATAACTGAAATAATAATTTGAGTAATAATTAATATATACTTGTTACTTTATAGATTTAATAGACATTTGTTGTTACTTTATTAATGTTTTTACGCTTATACTGTGAGCTAGAAACAGCTGCTGCTATGATTTTGTCTGGTTTATGAGCTCGTTGCTGTAATAATTTAGGATCTTCTTTTTAATAAATTATTGAAAATGTTAAAAAAGAGAGAGAGAAAGGGGGCCTGGTGAGGATGTTTGCCCGTGCTGGCTCTCGATGTTCCTGATAATAAGTGCAAAATCCCAGCATCTGGAAATTTGGCATGTTATAAAATACATAATGGTAATTCATATATGAGCTTCTTTTTTTAGTTAATGTTTTATACAAAATAACTTCAAATTTCTTTATTAGTAAATGTTCACAAAAAATAATGATTCAAATGTGTAGGTTGTATTTCTCAACACTCTGTGTTCTATTTCGAACAATACAAAAAAAAATCATACAATTTCAAGTATCAACATGTATATTACACCAAAGTGAAAAAAATTTAGATGCAAGATAACATATATATATTACATGTGACTAGGTTTTACGTTTTTCGTAAGTTATTATACTCCAACTATCACTATGCACAATGTAATTCATTCTCATATTTTTTTCATTACTTAAAATTTACAATACACATAGATTAAACAACATTTTTCTAAAAGAGAGTAAAGAAAAAACTTACATCAAATAATACAGGTTTATTTTACCAAACAATTCTTCTGATTCAGAAGTAGCCAGTTTCTGAATATTGGGAATATCTGTAGATTTTGTTTGTTTAAAAGAAAGTATATTTGAAAAGTTTCTTGTTCCCTCAAATTCATCCATTTGTAATTATTGAGAAATAGTCCCTATTAAAAACAATGTTTTTCATAATTAGGAAATAGCTATTAAAAATATGAAAGTCTACTCTTATGTTAATTGTCAATTAATTTGAAATATTCTTAAGGATTTAAGAATTAAAAACATTATGTCATACTACATATGATTATGCTTATTTTTTCTTAATCTAATTGATATTTACTTTGACTGACATTAAAAGATACAAAATACAATAATGACTTTATTTACTAAAGAGATATTAGTTTCATGATGTATATTTCCTTAACTTCTATGAAAGCTGATCTAAAATTATTTATTTATTTTTTGGTTCAGACACTATTCTAAAAGATAAAGTTACTTTGCCTGGTAGAGGATTTAAGAAAATATATTGCTTATGAAGTACCTGTTTTTAGTTGCTACAGGATAAGAAGAGTTTTCAGCTTTCTTTCAGAATCAAACTCTTCAAGAAAAGTGAAGAATTATTAGCTCAGCTAAAGTAGATTGACAAGCTAAGTATAAAGTTTAATTAATAGAACCTAATGGAGAATTTCTGCATTACTCTTAGTGATGAGTTCCAGAGTGGCAGATATGTTTAGTAAAGATATCAAGTTGTAACTACCTCAGAACAGAGACACTGTTCTACCATAAATCTTGTTATTGCAATCCTACTACTTACTGTTCATTTAATTTACTTGTGTATTTATCTATTTTACCTTACTAATTTATTTTAGTAGGTTCCCACTAGGAATCATGTTTTGTAATTATGAATAGCCCAATTTCCATAAGATGAGTCCTCTTTAGAGTTCTTCATTTCAGTGGACGTCATTATCTGTCTCTGCTGCATTTTTAAAGTAAAAAAAAAAATCAATGTTTTCCAAAGCTTGTAAGGATCTTATTTTCATAAAATTTATTTATTTTTTTAACAGCACGACTTCTTTCTAGTATTTGTTCTTTGTTGCATTTATCCACAGGGACTAGTGCTACACACATAACTGATAATTATCAATACAGTATAGCTGAGGCCATAACCTCTAAATATCATCTGAAGAACCACAAGGCATGGTATTTCAGCAATATCCTCCCAGACAAAAAAGGTATTATCCACTTGGGAATAACAAAAGAACATAGGTAACTAAAACAAACTTAACAGTTTTCCCAGTTATGTATTATGTGAAACCTGCAGATATACAGAATAAATACAATAATATTACAGGAAGATAGAAATACATTACATATTTACATACCATAGTTTCTTTTTTTCCATACTTCCTCAATCCATACAGTTAATTTCAACTTTAAAACCAATAAACTTTAAATTTGTACCCTGTTCGAGTAGTGGTTAACTTTCTCTCGCCACTGCAAACACTTAATCATACAGATGTTACAACTTTAAACAAGGAAAGAATACATACTCACAACTGTTTTCTTTGTTTGTTGTTAAGCAATATGTTACATAATGGGCTATCTGTGCTGTACTTACCACAGGTATTTAAACCCAATTTTAAGCATTATAAACTGTCAGACTTACCACTGAGCTTATAAATGACAAAAATGCACTTTACCAAAGAAATACATACAACACAAAAGTAAACTCTTTAACAAAGAAAGTCATTACAATACAAATATAAACCCTTTAACAAAGTTGCAAGTACACACTGGTACATTATAAAAACCCTTTAACAGAGATATTAATAAATATATACCTAGAAACCCTTTATAAAGTAAATTCAGAATGGTAAAGAAACACACAACAATGAAAAAAATCAAAAGAGAAAATGAAACAATCCTTGATAAAATGAAATACAAACCTTATATAAAATTAATTAAAAATACAAAATAAATTTTCACATAAACACTGCATCACATAATGACATATTATAAACAGACCTTCAATAAGTCGAAATTTACATACATAAGAAAATGTTATACAGATACAAATATCCTTTAACACTGAAATTACAAACTGAGCTCATTATTATATATTACGTAATCCAATAAACATCAAAATGCCCTTTAACAAAGACTTACAGACACAAAGTATAAATAAACTTCAACAATAGATGAATACATTTTACAGATACACTAGTAATGGTGGTATGGGGATTCACAGCAGGTTGGTACTTGGCTCCCGTTGAGTTGAGGCAGTCCTTAGGATCTCTTGGTTGGAAGCTCCTCAACAGACAATAGCTTTTGGATCCCATTCTTCACCTCAACTGTGGTTCAGTGATACCCATAATATTAATGGCCAGCCATTGAGGTGGAGGCTCCTTTGTTTATCTTAAAGTTTCTCATTGTCACTGATGGTGATGGAGTCAGTAAAGGTATTGAAGTCACTGTAGCTAATTGGCCCTTGTTGGGGTTGCTCATCAGAATCACTGATGCTGTGAATGGTGATGCCTGTTGAGCATTGGCAGATATCTTACCCCTGTTCCCCATCATTCAGCCATCCCCCACAGTAACTTCAACTCTGGGAAGGTCTTCTTGGACTTTGGTCGCTCTGTGATTCTGTTGTAAAACACTCTCTGATGGTACATCTCAGGGGGTGCTCCCAATGTTGAGTTGCCTGCCTTGACTCCTGCTTTATGGCTCTTGGGCCACTTAGTTGTACACTGGATTTCACATATTGTGTCATGGGCACCAGCTCACCTGTTGCTGTCATTGGAATAGACATCAAGGTCCTCATCTCCACTGGCTGGTATGTGGCTGAAAGGACCTGCCCAGTCTTGGGGAATCTGAGGGCTAGCCCAATGGCCAATGTATTTTCATGTATGGCTCCTTCCATGTCTAATGTGGAATTCTGGCTAGTTGAATAACAAGATAGCCAAAATGGTCAAGAAACAGACCTTAAAAAGTCTGGATTGAGAATGTAAGATCAGAGAAATTCCAATTGTTTAAAAAGCAATTAGGTGTGTAAGTTGGAAAAAAGGTTATTATGGCCCATTTACAACTATTATTTCCTTCTGAAAACTATCTTTAGAGAATGAATACTCAATGGATTACCTTGGTTAACATTTCTTTGGGGTTCACATGTACTGATACTTTAATTGCACTTAAAACATGTATCCCTAACACCAGTGAACTTCTTGGTCCACAGGCCTCATTCAGTTATTGTTTTACCAATACCTTTTTGCCATGTTGCCCAGTGTTGTCAGTCATGTGACAACAACCATCATGCTTACCCTTGGACCCAAATCTATTCCTTCTTCTACCATCAGATTGTTAGGTAACAAGTGCTCTGTTCCAGTAGGAAAGAAATGGAGCAAACACTGTAAAACTAGATCTTACACACCTGAGCTGACTTGGGTTAAATGAGGCCAACTCTTACCTTTGACCATTAGAATCTGCTAACATGTTAATTTAGTTTCCTTAGGGAGCTTATTCCAGTTACAACTTTAGTATTAGCTTTAATGTGATTCACTTAGTTTCCCCATACGGATGTTACCTTTCACTTCTCCCTGGTACACTTAAGGCATGAATTTTCCTGCATCTTATAATGCACCTTGCACTAAAACAATGTTAAGAACCTATTCAGTAAAACTGTGCTTATAAAACACTTCATGACTGAAAATATTCTATCGCAATGATATAAAACAATGAGCACACCAAATTTATTTTTGTTGTAATATCTATGCTATTGTCTGGAAATTTTAGATACTTCTGACAGTTTCACCTGCTCATAAACATTTTGATTTGATACAATCAAAATATCTTGCACCAATAATCTTACCAAAATACAACATGTAAAGCTATGTTTTCTCTCTGTTACTCTTACCTTCTATGAAAATTCACTAACTGCCAAATATTTCAATGTTGAAATTGAAACATTCTTTCACAAGTACAAATGAAAATAATAGCGCTGTCTTTAGATAATACTTTGCAGTTCAGTAATCAAAATTAACTTCATACCACAGTTTAACATCCAGATAAAATCCTTTATTTACATTCAGATGTAATAATTGTGCTCATTATGTAACTGATCCATTTGTGTTACAGAACACTAATGAATGACTTCTTGTAATGTTCCTACATGTGTATATTTAGACACGTATATTTTCATATATACATATCCATAAAACAAAACATACTCTAATAGCTTACAATAGGTTGTCTCAAATTACTTTGTAATTGTCTTGGGTTAGTTTCCAAAGCTACTGCACTGCAGCTGTGGTCTAGTAAAATGCTGCCATATGTAAGCTGCAAAACTTGTTTTTCTTTTAAGACATCACACAATAAATAATCACCAACATAATTCAGCTAAACTGAACTTTTTTATGTTAAAATTATCATATGTCAGGATTAATATTCATGCTCTTCTATATATATATATATTAATAAATGGAGAAGTTATGTACCTTTCAGGTGTACTGGAAAAAATCTATGGTGAATTATGTGAGTTAGATATCCTATGAATATCTCTTGTATTGAAACTACTCAATAGTTAATAAAGTAAAGGTTACAAAGCCCTTTCAGTCTTATTTATCTTGCAATCAACAAACTATTCTAGTTTCAGATAATTGAATATTAATCATACAGTATAGTGAATACCATCTGATAGCTCAGTAAAGAAGAGTTCCTCTCAGCTTTCAGCTGAGTTTTGAAACTCCCACCTATAATCTCCAGTTGTGCAAACTGTTGATGCAGTAAGTATTACATATATTTGCCTAAGCTATCCTAACTTCATGGTCATCAAGTGGAAATTGCACAATGCAGTGCATAAATTATATGGTGAACATCACTTGATAGCATGGAAAATAAGGACCACCTTTTCCTTTCAGTCAGTATCCTACAATCAGTGATCGTCATATCTCTCATCAAGTTTAATCTCAATCATTAGCACTTCTGTGGAGTCTCACTTCTGGATCTGATGCTTTCTCATCAGAGTCGTGCTGAACAATCATGTAAGTACTCTGTTCCTTCATCGTTAGGGTTAGAG